GGTACACCTCAACATTCTTTCCATCTTTCTCTTGTGGCCACAAGAATGCAATTTCCCTGCATATTAAGATCTAGTTTTAGTATTTAGAGTGTATGTATAAATAGTTAATAAACAGTTCTAAAAAAGCTTTGTTTATAAGCCCATCAAATACTTTTTTCAGCAGAAAAATTCTTCATAAATTGTTGATCTTGCATTGCTAACAAAATATTAATAACATATTCACCAAACATTAAAACACACCCTAGCTTACTAGATTTCTGTAAGTTATTTCTTCTGCTCTCAATCAGAAACAATTTCTATACATCCTTAACTGGTCCTATTTGCATACACTGTTCCTGGGGAAGGGTTAATTACTGCTGAGTGTTAATCATCATGGAATATCCTTACTATTACATTGAACGTCAAAAGTAATTTAAGAAAGTGAATTGAGGAAAGAAAAATGTGTTCTGGATGAAATATATAACTCTGTTTGTAAACCAAATCTGAAACATGTAAGTTAAATTCTAAACACAATATACCCAGAATCAGCTATCCTCCTTCACAGTTTAACCAACCAAAAGAAATCATAAAATCATGTATCTGCAACATTTGCAAGACTATGAGAGTAGCGTATGCCTTATAGTAATGCTAATGAGTATATCTCTAAATTGGTTCACTTGGTTTCTGCATATAAAAAAAAGAGAAAAAATAAATCAACATATTTGTGTGCAGAAATTAGACTTGTACAAAGCAATCAGATTCTTAGCTAGTCCTACGAATGTTGGCATTCATTTGTTTGAATACATGAATTTTGTTATTTGGTGCAGATATGCTCACAATCTACCACTCCCAGTGATACTGAAAAGCAATATTCTCAGCTCTCTTTAAGCAATAGAAGTAGTGTTCTTCTTTAACTCATTATTTCTTACATTATATTTCTGTGCTATTGTAATATGACATTTCACAAATACTAACTTATCAATTATTAAGGAATTATACTACTGTTTTTGTTTTGCAACATGTCAACTACACAGGTATGAGTCAAGAAATCCACAATGTTTTCCAGAGTATGAGAAGTTCTTTTGTGGTATGGAATCTTTCCAGTAAAGCTTCTTCTCAAAGTGACTTTTGCCCAAACCACTGGAATTAAAAGAGGACATGAAGAAAATGGCACAATAAACAATAGAGTATTTGGTCATGTGAGAAGACTGATCCAATAAGTAGAAATTCACTACATTTGGTTATCAATAAATATGCAGGCATTATTTTTTGCTGGGCAATGCTAAATAGGTAAGTTTCAGAATTTTGACCAACAAAAAAAGATTTATTTTGAAAACAGAGTTTTTAGCAATAAACAAGATGCAGAATTTTTTTAATGACACAATGTATTAACAATCAAAATCTTACTACAAATGTGAGAGACTAATCTCACTGTGAAAGGCTGCATGTTGTCTATGGTCCTTTGAATAGACTACCTTATTTGTATCTGATAAAGAGAATTCTCCCAAGAAAGTATCTTTACCAGTTAGGAAGATTTCAATAAAGGAATATCAATGCAAAGATGGGAAGCTTGTACTTAAACTACTGGGAACACAGCTGTGGTCCATCCTGAAAGGGATGCAGCACCCAGGAAGCCCCTGCAGAGGGGACACAGTGGAGTGAATGTCTACTGCAGAGGTTGTGGCACCTCTGGAGGGCATGGGGTAGCAGACACAGGTCAGTAGGAGGCTGTTCGCTAAGCACATTGCCACAGGCCATTCTAGCCATCATTTTCCTTTCTACCTGTTTGTATCTATGCACAGGCCAAATATATCTTATGAGTCATGGAGTGCACATATATTTAAGCACGTACCTTGGGGTGCAAAGGAGAGCTGAGGGAATAGCAATAACAGTAAAACCTGCAGCAACAAGTATGTGTTAGTCTGACACTAATGGGTACAGTATGGATTTTGTGTCATTTTACCAGAATGGAGCAGGAGTGTCAAGGTAAAATTCAATTTGCTGCTATACTCTTGCAAGAATATCTGCATAACAAAAAGGTCAAGTGGCGCAAAAGAATATCTTTCGAGGTATTAGAGCTGAATTGCTGTGTACAGTCTACCTAGAAAAACTCTATCCCATCCAGTCTAGCCCTGCATTAAATAAAATGGACTGTATTCTGATTCTCTGATCTTTTAAGTTACTCTTTTTTTGTTAGAAAATTAGAAGTGAAAATGGATCTAGAAGAGATGATTTGTGACAGCCATGGCAGATTGTGCATCTGACAAGTGTAAGCTCTAAGAATAAAAAAGCTTTTGATAATTTTATTCTAAGTGACATTAGATGGGATTTAGGCTTCTACATTACTCAGACATTTTTGAAATTTTTCCCCATAAAAGGAAAAAAACAGAATCCATTCATCAGAAGAGAATATTTAAATCCTAGCTCCAAGCTGCAACAGTTGTCTCAGGGAGGCTTCAAATGTAACAGTGGCTGATCCAGAAATGACACAGCAAAAAAGCCTGCCAAGCCGAGGCAAAACCTTCCCTACTTCTGCCACTCAGATAAAGACACTCATGCAGACTATGAGATGTTTGGCGTCCTCAGTTTTGATGGCTTATTCACCCACCTACTGAATTTTAATGAAGCATTAATCAGAACTATACTGTCTCCTTTTAGACCTGGAAGTTGGGATGAAACTAATAAATGTGGAGGAAGAAACAATAAAATCATGAAGACATGAAATTACTGGAAAAAAATAATGTGCTGACGTTGCTGCATAACTGGATGATATGTTGTTGTGTGGTTGGTTTATTTTTAAAATACATAAATAAATTGCAATCCACTCTGACCTTTCTTCAAGTATTAAAAACATGCCAGGAAAACCCGAGATGCTTATTTCCTGCTGGCAATTTCCAGAATAAAAGTGTTGTAGAGAAAAGTCAAGTAGTGCAATCACATTTAGATAAGATGCATAAACAACAAAAACATTTATGGTACCCATAAAAATCTTAATCTTATCAGGTCCCTTTGGACCTGTTTCTTGTTGCTCTTTACCCTGTAGAGCAACTTACACAAGTACAGAGATGTTTTAAGTTTTGGGCAAAGACAAATTAAGTCTCTTTAATCAGAAATGAAAGTCTGTGCAGGTGGAAAAGTGGTTGATATTTTCAAACTAAGGTGTTTAGCCACACAGTTCCCATTGAAATTAATTAGAAGTGAGAAGATTATTCTCTCACCTTGCTTAAAGGAGGCTTAAGCACACAGTATGAATGAGTTAAGAGATGGGAGAAGAAGAAGAAAGTGAAAACCTCATAAACTTTTTAAAGAGAAATGCCTAAAGTGAATTTGTGTTTCAGTTGTAAGAGTCAAAAGATTTGGATGTTTTGTGTAATTTAATGCATACCAATACACAAAGCTTATTAAGAGTACTCAAGCCTCTTGGGTTACTTCAGAAGCATGACTTATTTAATAAACATACACTGTAGCTCAAGGTGTATGCAGGTACACAAGGGGAAAAATAAAGGGAGGCAATAAACAGCAAAAAAACTTGTAAATTGAAATTTAAGGCTGTAACATCCCCTAATTTTTCTCTCAGAGGTATAAAGCCAAGTATTAAATATTGGCTTTATTACTTGCAGTATAAGTTAAATACAAATGGGAATACAAGTGGTACTCCCTTTCTTTGGAAATTCAATGCCAGTCATATTGAATATATTTGCAGTTCAAAGCTATGAAGATCAGGTTCCCAAAAAATGCCTTACCTATTAGTTGGCCAGTCAAAAGGCTGCCTCTTGGTAATTTCCTGTTTCCATTGGACTATACTGGTACATTTTCCTATTTAAAAGATTTAGCTATAAATCAAAGGATCATCATCCTCATCTTTAAAAATAACCTGTTTCCCAAAAGGAGTATCATTGTCACTGGATTATCTCTGGAAGCATACCTTACACATGGCTTTCTATGGAAAGTGATGGTCTCTTTCCAACAGTTATCTCAGGGAAGGAGCAAATTGATGGATATTGCACTCAATTTCCCTGTTATTTTGAAACTCATGCAGAAACTTTAAAGTCCCAAGCCTTTCAATTACTCCAGTTTGCCTTGAAACAAATAATGTTGAATGATCAGTCAGAAGTCAAGTAAGACTTTCATTTCTGCTTTGTGGAAAGAAAAAGCATTAACCTGTGATACTAGAATATTTTTTACTAAGCATGTATTTTTTACCTAGTTGTTTACAGCAATGAAAATGAATGGTTTTTTTCCCCTCTCAAAATTTATAAACAAGTCTAACTAAAAGAGGGGAAACCTTATCAAGCAGTACAGAATGTAACAGTGTATTCATTTAATGTATGATGGTTTTTTCTATTAAAGAAAGGATTCTTCCAAAATCAGGCCCAGGGGCCTAAAATTTTCTTCTTCCTTTCTTGTTTTCCTTTTCTGGAAAGTTGGCATTATTTTCAGAAATCCAGTGCCCACAAAAAAAAAGCCTGAAATAAGTCTTACGGCTTTCTGTGTCAAGTTCTATGATTATATGTATTCTTTTCATTTGTAGCAGGAGGCGCTTCAGAGCCTCCACCAGAAACATGATGCTGTCTTGATCTCTGTGTCCATGCTATTGTTGTTATTCACCTTTCATCACCCACTCTACCTTCATTAGATAATCACATCATCACTAAGGATGACTATCTAACCAAAAGATAAATAAATTCACTTTAAGGAGTACATTCAGTCTACCATGGTGAGTTCTGATGATACAAATACAGAATGGCTTCCTCCAGAATGGCTTCCTTTTACAGACTAGACCTATATTTTTGGTTATGCTTTGTGCACCACCATAGTTGGCTATGCTAATGAATTCCAAAATAATGTACAAGAAATATGAGCAGAACTATGTAAGAAAAAGGAGCTAGTCCTTTCCAATCTGTTGTTCTAAATGCTCCAATTTGTTGGCTCATGGCAACAGCCTGTTGTAACCTGCATATGTAGAGAGGGGAAAAGTTCAAATATACCTGGGACAAGATTAAGACACAAAGGAGGCCAAATGCTGGTAATCAAAATTATAATTCACTTTTATTTACTCTTAAGAAAGAGAGCAAGAAGAAAAGATAAGAAAGTGGAGAAAATCAAAGGACTACAGAAAGCAAATGACAGTTGTCACCGCTAGTCAGAGTCATCCCACAGGCCTTTTTTTCCCAGCCTGTGGGTAGGGAGAGCTCAGTCAGACTTGCTGTGCACCCAGCTAAGTGCTGCTTTATAGCAGAAACAACCATGCCCCATTATCTTTAGCTGCAGATCTGACAGCAGGACAATACTGAAACAAGTTGCTCTTTAACACTTCTCTACACAGCCTTCTTGAGAATAAGGGGCATGGATCAATTGCTGAAAAGTCATTTTCGTATTTTAGCATTTCAGTTTCTTTTTGCTATAAACAAAATTTGTTATACATGTTCTGTATTGTGACAACAATCTACTAAGGTCTATCTACTACAAAAAGATTTCTGAAAAGTCCAAAAAGAATGGCAATTGTTACAACACAAAGACATTTATAGGTAAGTCTAAAGGTAAGAAAAGCAAAGTTAATAGATGGGATTTTACTGCCAGTTCAAAACTGGAAGCTAAAATACAATTTGATGTTATTCATCATTCTTTTCAAAGTTTATTAAAAAGAAAAAAGAAATTTTATATGTTTAATGATGTGGTTCTTTACATGCTGGGCTAGGTGCATTAAAGCACAAATAAATAAAAGACACCCCCTCTGCCAAGAAGAATTTGTGATCCAATTTTATGTCTCCCAGATGAAAAAAAAAAAGGCAGAACAGAGCAAGAAGAAAAGACTTTACAACTCCAAACTTATTGGAACCATTCATGTTTCTTGTTATCTCACCTACATATTGTTTGATTCTCTTGCCTGGATACTTTTCTCATTTAGTGTTTGATGCAGTCATGTGGCAAAGAAAAATTGACTGATAAAACTTGGATTGGATAGGATTTGTGTTTTCTGAAAAAATGAGTCTTTGTCTTACAGAACTATGGAATACTTTGGCAGGCAGGGTGGAGAAGGAGTGGGAGAGACACATAACACCCAAGGAAGCTTCAAAGGACCCAAAGAACAACTGAAAAAATTAAGGGAAACTAGAAATAGAAGGTAGACAAGGACATCTGATAGGTAGATCCAAGGAAAATCATGCAGAAAATTTTAAAAATACATTTAATAGCCAGAAGAATAACTGGAAGATGTCATTTCATGGAAAGGTCAGTAAAAGGATAGACTTGATGAAGTGGAAGAAAGTGTGGAGAACAGAAATGAGGGGAGTGAGCATCCTGTGGAGAAAATGACTGTACCCAAATAATGATCACATTATTTTGATAATTTATTTTATCACAATGGCAGTGGTAGGTGGATTTACAAATGGACTCACCAAGGAAAAATCAGAAACACTTCAACTCCTGCAAGATTGACAAAAATCCATAGCAAGTTGTCACTGATGTCATCCTTAGGAATAAAAAGGCCTTGGCAATCTTATCTATTTAGATGCTCATTTTTAACACAGTAAATTTGATCTTGAGCCTGTTTGTGACTACAAAAAAAAAAAAAAAAAAAAAAAAAAAAGGATGAAAGCAGGGAAAACATGGCACTCTAGGTAGCTGTTACACAGAGACGCTGTATGAATTTCCCACTTTCTGGAATGCTTATAGTTTCTGAACATGCAGAGCACACTGCTCCAGTTTCCACACTAAATGAGCTTGCTTTATGACCTCCGTATGACCTTGCTTAAGTACCTTTTTTCTTAAAGAAAGAAGTCTAGATGTGTACTTTTAGTAAGTTTAGTGGAAAAGAATCATGTAATTTCTTGGCTCATCAGAATTCACAGCTTATCTGGTTATTTGCAGCCCTTTGTCATAGGCTTACTGTTTTACCTTTGGTCAACACAGAGTTTCCCTTTGTCTCTGAAACCCAGTTTTTAAGAGAGCAGATCCTCTAGAGAAGATGTTTAAAAAACAAAAATTACTATATATCTTGAAATACAATCATTTAAAATGCTTCAGAAGTGCTTAACTGTGGTACAAACATAAATTTTACTTGACAACAAAAGGATAAGGATGGGTAGAGTAGTAGAAATTCAAATAATGTGCTAAAGACAAAAAGGAAAATTTGCTAATTCATGTATACAATTTGCAATTTACATTGACATTTATATTTTCTCAGCCTCTCATGTACTAAAATCTCTTGCTTGTCCAATAATCTAAGCGTTCTTTTGTCTCTCAGTAGGTTGTCTTGGCCTTTCTTCTGCTTCCCACATGTGTGTGAAGTGTAGGAAAAACCACGCAGGCTCTAGAAGACTTCTGGACTCTTTTCCCATCTCACAGTATGATTTGCTGAAAAATAACAGAAAATAGTTTAAAACCAGCAGAAACAACATAAACTACAAAAGAAGGGTAATGAAAGTAGGTTCAGAGAGAGATTAAGGGTACACTGGTGGGGTGGACAAGAGTGCTGGGTCCAGTTCTGTGGTTCCCAGTATGGGAAAGAAATGGTCATTTTGAACAGAGTCCAACAAAGGTCCACTGAGATGAGTAAGAAAATGGAGCATTTCTCCTGTGAGGAAAGGCTGAGAAAACTATGACTGTTAGAAGGCTCAGGGGAATTTTACCCATGAGTACTAATACCTGAAGAGAAGGTGTGACTCAGATACAGCCAGGCTCTGTTCAGTGGTACTCAGAGAAAGGCCCAGAGGCCATGGGCAAACATTGAAATGCACAAGGCTCCAGATGGTTATCAAGATGCACTTTCTCACTCTTAGAGTGACCAAACAGTGTCACAGGTTGCTTGGAGAGTTTATGAAATCTCTACTCTTGGAAAGATTCAAAAACCACCTGAACATGGTCCTGAGCAATAATCTCAAGATGTCTTCCTTGAGCAGGGGACTTTTAACCAGACGACCTCAAGTAATCCTTTCCAACCTCAGCCACTCTGGAATTATGAGATTAAGGAAATTAGGAGCAAATTGGATGTCAAATTTAATTTAAAAAGCACTAGCAGAATTCCTGTGCAGAAGATACACTGTTTGTGAAGTCCATACATTTTGTGTGCAGAGACAAAGTAGAAGTTTGGACTAAGATTAGGAGTCTTCAAAGAGGTCAGATATTGAAATCTTATATGATTCCATAAGGGCTTCAATAAAAAAAAAAAAAAAAACAACCAACAAAAACAAAAACAAAAACAAACAAAAAACCAAACAAAAAAATCACCCAAACCCAAAAACAAACAAAAACACCACAACCCCCCCCCCCAAAAAAAAACCTAAACAACCAACCAAACAAAAATATTAAAATCAATTTGAAGAAGATATTAAATGTAGCTGTCAGACTCAAAATTAGTAGGGTATCAAATGAAGTGGAAAATTACTCTAGCTAAGTGTTATTACTGCTCATACCAAACAGGATTTAAAATTAATAAACATTAATATATTACTGCAATGTACATTGTACAATAATGAGGAATGCTGATATTACACATGTATCGAATGTCAGATCATGGTGTGACAGAACAATTCCTAGCAATGCAGAGCAATCTGCAGAAGCCCAGAAGACCTCTATTAGAAGTCACCCAATGTGAAATCACCCAAATAATCCCATCCAAACTGTCTATTCTAAAAGGTGTTGTGAAATCTGAACTTTCAGAAAGAAAAAAGACTATAAGTACACAATAGAACTTATTCTTCTTAATCTTCTCCTCTTATAGAAACAGAAGAAATGCTTTCTGGTTCTCAAAGAACTGCTTCCCTGTGTATTCAGTATAAAGACACCAAATCTTTTCCATTCAATGCTATTCCAGGATAGTAAGGGAGCTTATTTAGAGTGGGTCACATCTACAGTACCAGGTAGAGAAAAACTGTCTATTTTCAACATATGAAGGAAAACTTCTGGTACCACATAGCATGTAAGCTCTTCATCTGTTTTCCTTATCTGGTGCCATTGTTTGTCCCCAACCCTGCAACCAGCAGGAAGCTTGATGATCTTAATTCGTCCTTAGCACAATATTAGCCTCAATTTTTATGAATCTGAAAGCAAGAGAAGCACCCACTTTGGAGCTTTGAACTCATTCAGATAATTTAGTCCCTTCCAAAATTTCATTTTCAAAAAGTGCAAAAAATTAACACTTAAAATAGTATGTAGGGATGTTTCAGTTTTTAATCTATCTCAAGCAGTCTAATCTAATATCCAAGGCCACTAGTCAGAAGCTTCTGTGTGGTGACATGCTATAATTAAATATATGTACTAGTTTGCATCTATTTGTGTTGCAAGCCAATTGAATTTGGAAATTATTTACATCTGTATACTAACATAATTTAACAAATTTGCCCATTCTCAAGTAGTTTATTTTTTAACTAGGTTCAGCGATTCAGAAATAGTAAATAGTTACTGCTTACACTGCATTAGTGTGCAGGATCTACTGCATTCAACTTTGCACATAAGACTGAGTCACCATTGGAGACTCCATACTGTGAGTTCTTTGCTCTAAAGAAGTTTAAACATGAAAGGATGAACAAAAATGAAACAGCAGCACTAAGAAGTGACTTGCCTCATTCATCATATTCATCTCCTCTCTGTTAGGCTCATAATGTCTCTCAAGTGTTTAACATTTTTTCCCCTTAACTTTTGAATTTAACTTTCCTCAGCTCATTTTGTGAAATTTCTTTTTAACTTTTAAAATATCATTTGACAAATTTTGAGGATCTAAACATTTTTCCAACAGACACGTTTGTTAAATTAATTTCTAATTCAAAATGTCATGCTTTTGCACTTCATGCATTCAAAATGTCATATACAAGTGCCGTGGCAGCAGATTATGGAAATCTTGGCTTGTGAAGGGAAGATGGGAAGGAATATAGTAACAGATGCTCACACATATTTATAGATTATTGTACATAGAGACAGACACACAGCAGGTAAGGCTAGGACAGAAAGGGATGAAGTTCTCTAGAGACCCTGCATGATCATTTAGAACTGCTGAAATCCTGCTGGTTACAATATGACTTAAAGCTTATTTGCCAGTATGGCTGGAAATTTCCAATTCTAGTCAGACAGTCAACTTTCTGTTCCTTTCTAATACCAGGTCTGCTGTCTCCGAATGGCACAGCTAACCCTGCTGCAAAGTGTCCTACAGTGCTGTCCTGTTAACAGCAGATCTGCTGATCTGCAGCAAACTGAGCAGAGGAGGCCAGGGAAACAGCATGAAACAGTATCTATTACTTATGAAGCTCAAGGCCATTTATTTGGCTTTCTCCAGCTTCTTCACATAGCTCAGTGATCCAAAATAGCCATAAAAATGCTCTAGTACTTATGCTCTTGGCAATCCTGGAAGTATTCTCAGTATTAATTTCTTTCTCTACTCCAAGGTCCTCCACTTCTCTAGACTGGAAAGCCAAACTTCCCAATAACAACAGGAATAGCCTTTGGTTGTTGTTGGCAGGTGGCAAATACCATGAAGTAGCTCTCAGACTGATCTTCAGTCTGCCAGCCTTTACGTGAAGCTGCTTCAGTTGTCAGCTTCTTCAGGTAAGCCTCTAGAGTCTTCAGAGAGTGTTTAAACATTTTGCTAATGCTGCTTTTTAATTTAACCAGTCACAGGTGCCCACAAGGAACTGCATTAAGTTTTTATCCCTGGGATTTTGCAAAGCAAGTATATTCAGGTGACGCAAAGACGACCATGACCATGACCATGGCTGAAGTACAAAGAGTAGATTTATTCCATCTCACTGGCTGGAGGATTCAAAAAAACCAAGTGGAGACACATGCACTGCTAAGTTCATTTTAGCGGAGGCAAAAAGGACAAGGCCAGAGCCTTGCATATCCAAGAGCCTGGAGCATGCACAAATCTCCACCAGGCTGTGTTCTACAATCTTGAAACACTCTTATCTCTCTTCCCCACCTACAATGAGGCTTCAGCCTGTGGGAAAGGCATTTAAGTCTTTAACAACATCCTGTTATCCGTTCTGAGAAAATTCCTCTTCTTTTTCAGCAGATAGAAAACAACCCAAAGCAAACACAAGTACTGAATTTTCTCACACTGAGTATTTTCTAACATCTCCCAGGTGCAGGGTTAATCTTTAAAAGAAAACAACGCTAAAAACAACTAATTTTTCTCTCTCCTTACCAAACTTCAGTTTTGCAACCCTTTCCTTCCCACAGGGATAATTTTTAACAAAAAATTGTGTATTTATTAAAATGCCTAGGAAGCTACTGTATATGTGGTTTCAGTAACCTTCATTAAGATGTTTCATTTTAAATTTTCACAGTCTGAAAGAGAATCATAAAACATTTACTACTCACAATCTAACTGGGGACTTCAGGAAACCTGTTCTAGAGACAAAGATACCTGTAAACTTTTATTTTTTCTTATTGTCAGAACAGTATTGCAAATTCTCTCTCTAGAAACTGGAGTTTTTAAACCAACAACGAAGAGTCAACAATGCAGAAACTGAGGTAGCTTTTCAGACCATTTCATCACAGCCTTGAATGAAAATAAAATTTAGCACCCTTCCCCTTAAATACAACTTCATGGTGCAGAGAACAATGATGCAGACAGACAAAAAGTGACAACCTTTCTCACCTTGGGGCACTGCAAGACTGTATTTCACACGATACAAAAAGATGAGAGAAAAGGTCATTTTTTGCTGCCCTTTTTTTTTTTCCTTTTAAAAATATTTCTAGTCCTGAAATTCATCTGCAAAGCAAGAGTCTTACAAAAAAGAGGTCAAACACAAGAAGAAGGAGAAGGAAAATCTTCTTTTTTTACATGCTACTCCCATAAGTTTGATTATATCAGAGTTTAGATGCTAGCAAAACCACTGTTTTGCAAAACAAATTGATATTGAATCACTCAATATTATTGCTATAATGGCCCCTAGTAAATAGTAGGGCCATCATAGCTGTGATTTGTCCATGAATGCTTATAGTAATTCACAGTATAGCTGCTGATAACAATTTCTGGAACAAGCTCAACAACAACTGCAAGCAGGAACAAACCACAAGAATCACAATTCTTTCTGAAACCTTTAAGACAGTTGTCTAGTATCTATCATTTTATTATATACGTGTGCACTATAATTTCATATTTCTGTAACATCACAAGTCAAAACTGTATTATGACAGGCACATAAAAAGAAATTGATATAACTTTCCTTGACTCCAGACCTCATCTGGCTCTCACATGTTCCCTATCAGTTGTATGCCAGAACTTGTCCCAGATACAAAATAAGGGACCAGCTAAATTAAAATTGAATAACTATATTGAAAGAAAAGCTCAAGAGTAGTATCTAAAAGCAAATGGTTGTTTAATTCCATCTGAAATTAGAGTGATTTATATTAAATAT